TCACAGATGCACAGGGTGGGGGGGTCACAGATGCACAGAGTGTGGGGGGTCACAGATGCACAGAAGGGGGTGGTCATAAAGTCACAGAATAGGGGTGGGGACTTCCAAGAAAGAAAGAAAGAACGAGATGAGAAACTGCTTTTCTTCTGGAATGTGTTTTTTTAAAGAAGACCTAAACAAAGAAAGAATTGGGGGCAGGTGGAAACATAGATTAAAAGCCTTCAAAGACTAAAAATTTAAAAAGGCAGAGACGCTTACCAGAATTTCTTGCGCATCAGAATGAAGAAACAGCGGAAAGCAGTCGAGACGTGGAGAACCCTCACCTGCTGGAGCAGCTGGACTCTCTGGACAACCTTGCCCCCATCAGGTGAGAGACCAAGGTCTTTATCGGAGTCCTTTTTATCCCCTTGGGGGGGTGGGGGGGCAGGAAGGAGGGATCATCTTTTTTTATATCACATCTATCATGGATAAAATCACAATATCTATTCTAACCCCCAGCCTTTGTTTGTATCTGTTAAAATGCCTCAGGACAAAAATCCATGAATCTGGCAAAAGAAACCAGCGAAAGAACGAGCAGGGCCTGTCTTACAAACAGTGGTTCTCAACCTTCCTAATGCCGTGACCCTTTCATACAGCTCCTCATGTGGTGGTGACCCCCCAACCATAACATTATTTTCGTTGCTACTTCATAACTATAATTTTGCTACTGTTATGAATCGGGAGACCCCTGTGAAAGGTTCGTTTGACCCCCAAAGGGGTCGTGACCCACAGGTTGAGAACTGCTGTTATCATCCACGCTTTTAAGGCCAGGGTCACTATGAGCCAACAAGGGACTCCAAGGCAGGGAGTTGGTTTGGGCTTTGGGGTTGCAGGTTCTAATCACTGGGACCCTCTATGACAGGGTAGAACTCCCCTATACAGTTCCCAAGGCTGGAATTTTTTTACAGAAGCCAACTACCACATCTTTCTTTTGTAGAGTGACTGGTGGGCTTGAACCACTGACCTTCTGATTAGAAGCCAAACACTTAAACCGCTCTCCTGCCAGGGTTCCCGAGTTCTTTTTTGTTTGGTGTTTTTCAATCATCTAGAAAGTAGTAAAGATAAGTTCGTTTTCATATGGATTGAATTACTGGTTTAACACATTTAAAAACTAGTCCCCCATAGTCACAGGGTCTAAGAATGGGGGGCTATTTTGGGTGTTGCCATGCATTTGAATGCTATGGAGTTCAGAAAATCTGAATTAAGAAGGGAAAGATCAAAAGCCTAAGGAGATAATAATTTTTAAAATGTTCTGTGTGCTTAGACTCCCCATCCCTCTCACGATCCCACCACCGTCACACTGGTGAGACCCACACCTTTTGACCGGTGAGCCACGTCATTCCCAGGCTCTACCATAATGCTGGACTTGCAGCAGGCCCTCAAAGCACAGACGAAAAGCCAGAGCGCCTGTACAGTGAACGGATTTTCCCTTGATTAAAAGTCCGTATTAATTACATTACTTAGTATTCTTTCACTTGAAGGTTTACTCAAGAAAACATATATGGGGACCTTCTTACAGATTGAAATATGTCCTTGAACTAATTACAATCAGTGGCCCAATGTGCTTAGTGGGGTTGTGTCTGCAAAAACACTACTTTATGATGTATTCTGATGTTTTCTTTTCTTTAAGTAAGTGGACTTTGGGGGATGTTTCGATTGCCAGAACCCAAGCCAACTTTTCTCATTTTAAGTCTTAAATAAATGGGTCCTTTAAGGTCATTGATGAATTATTGGATTAATTTACAGTGGAATATTAAGTTATATTTCTAATGAGGCATACAGAGAGAGAAAAATCATGGCACTTAACTAATGCAGCAAAATGTCTTTATGATATGGGGGACATAACTTTCTGATTTTGGAGAAATAACTTTAAGAAACATCCTAATTAGCAAAGGGAATGAACAGGAAATAGATGAATCTGTAACTCTACTGGCTATGTTCTAGCACTGGCTTTGAATAAACATTCAAAGAGTGAGGACCATCACTCTTCTCTGCCACTGTTTAATCTAGCTTTCCTTATTTACTATGCAAGGGGGCTTCCAAGAGTTCATGGGAAAATGCCATTAAAATAGAATTTTTTTTTAATACTGATTTTGAGTACCGCACTGGGCAGCATTCCTCTCTTCACAAGTTATATTTTTGTGAGGGAAGAAAAGACATGAAAGAATCAATTGATGGTTAATATCCCATATCACCTTGGCTAGGCCATGGTTTCCCATGGTTTGGTAATTATGATGCAGTCTGGGGGTTATGTCATGATGTAGTCATCTTAGGAAATGAGATCTCATATAATGTAATCAGCTCTATGATGAGATGTGTTATGAGGCAGCCATGCATGGAAGGGAGTTTTCTGGGGAGTGTGGTCTGCTTCTAGTGTAAATTAATATTTTGGCAAAACTCTGATGTTGTTTTTGACCAATCTCGATACTGCACCTGGCTTGTTGACATCTGACCTCTGGCGCTTTGCCACTGACCTGCCATATTACCCGCCAGTTTGGATATTAGTTACCTCTGCAGCCTGTGAGCCTGGCTTGCCAATCCTGGATGTGTCCATCCCTGCAGCTATGACTCAGCAGAAGCCACCAGTCTGAAGTCAAACTCATGAACTTGGGACTTTCTAAATGGTTCTAGGGTCTATAACCATGTGAGCCATGACTTGAGATCGGGCTCTTTATAGATCTATACAGTTCACTGGGTTTGTTTCTGTAAAGAACTCAGGGTAAGACATTTGGTACTAAGAGTGCTTTCAGAGAAACAAATCCTAAGGATAAGTTTTCTAAATTGGCTCCCAAATCTGACTAATCTTGAAGGCACAATGCCTCGCAGCATTTGGACAGTATTTTCTAAGAGGCTGTATACAGGCTAACCTATAAAGCTCCAGCTCATATGCACAAGGATTTAAAATGATCTTTACCATCAGTGGATGGCTGCAGACAAGTTCTCTCAGTAATACACTTGTCTTTGTCTCAATAGGATGCCTTCCAGAAAAAGTTCCAATCAAAATAGTGACTTCTAAGGCAATCTGCTAGGCCAATTAAATGCAAAGCAGAGAGGTCAGCTCAGAAAGTTTTGGTGACTGTTTTGGTTTTTTTTAGTATTCCGCGGGGGCTCTTTTGATAGATGTTCTCCAAGGACGTAGGAATAATCACAAGGGCTTATGATGAAGAAGTTTTGAAAATCGCCTTGGTCAGAAAAAGACCACGAGCATTGCTCTGTAGGATTGTCTTCCATCACAATGTACCTGCTCATCCTTTAAGGGGAACAAGAATTCCATTGGGAAATCTTACCCCCATCCCATTCAGTCTTTTTATTACTCCTTTAGATTGATGTCTGTCCACCCAAATTCAAAGAACATTTAAAAGGCACACACTTGGGTCTCTTGAGGATACTAAAACTGTCCTTTTGATGTGGGGTAAACCCAAGAACACAGAATTCTTGGGGGGAGGGTTGGAGAGATGGATACACTGCCTTCAGAAGTGTGTAGTCCTAAATGGAGGCTCTATTGAGAAACGATAGCTTCCGATTTTAATATATTTGTTTAATTAAGGTTTCTGTGATTGTGTGACTTTTCACTTATTCTCATATGCTCAAAATAAGCATCCAATATAGGGCCTATTTCTCTAATCATCGGAATGTATGCGTCGAGGACCCAGGGGGTAGAGGTGGGAGCAGTGCCACTCACTATTCCCCCTAATGACTAGGCCGCTCTATGCTCCGTGAGCCTGGAGGACTTAGTTCCCAAAGGAGGAATACTCCCACCCAATGACAAAATACGGTTTCCATTGCATGGGGAGTTAGGAATGCCACCTGGCTACTTTGGGCCCCTCATGCCTCTGGACCAACGGGCAAAGAAGGAGTCATTGTATTGAGTGGTCTGACTGATCCTTATTATCAGGGGGAAATGGGATTGATATTGCATAAAGGAAATAAAGATTATGTTGGAAAGAGGAGACACGGGAAGACACCTGTTATTACTACCATGCCTTGTGATGAAAGGCAATGGAAAACTCCAATAACTCAATGTTGACATGACTTCTGGTAGATCAGACCCTTCAGGAATAAAGGTACTGGTCACTCACCAGACAAAGGACCACAACCAGGGTAAGGTGCTTGCTGAGGGCAGAGAGAATACAGAACGGGTGGTAGAAGAAGGTAGCTTTAAATACTAGGATCTATAAGTGTTATGAGTACTTATTCCTAATATGTGTGCATCCAATATATTTGCTATTCTTCGCTTATAAAATACAAGATTAAAAATGGGGCTAGTGCTTTGGGTTATACATATATTGTATCGTTTTAGACACAAACATGGCTTTATACTTATCTTTATTTGGAGATTGATTACAGTATAAGGAGATACATACAGGTGCCAAGTTGACAAGCATTGGACTGCGATGGTTAATGTTGTGTCAGCTGTCTGCGCCATGATTATCAGTGGGGTTGGCAGTTATGATGTAGTTTGGCAGTTATCCAATGATGTAGTCATCCCCCATGATGAGAGCTGCTATGTGCAGCCAATCGGTTGAAAGGGTGTTTTTCTGAAGTTGTAGCCTGCATCCAGTATCTATATTCTGGCAAAGCTCTCTCTGGCTTTTGCTGGATCCTATATTCTGTCTAGCATTTGACTTACAGCTCTTTGGTCTTGGGACAGTGGTCTGACATCCTGCAAGCCAATCTTGGGATTTGTTAATCTCTGCAGTGTGGGAGCCAGGATCCTACTATCTGACCTGCCCACATTAGGTTCTTCAGCCTCTAGAGCTAAGTGGGTCAGGAGAAGCCTCCACCCTGATGTCTGACTCACAGACTTGGAACTTGCCAGCTTCAACAGCCTCTGCCTCTGTAATCAATCAATCTTTCATTCTCAATGCACACAGACATAGATTTACTGGTTTTGCATTTCTAGACAACCCAGACCCAAACCACAGCTACTAAACAATAAATGTGATTGGCTATTGTGGAGGAGGGCAGGAGAAACAGAACCGGGGATGAATTGTCCAGATTTCAAAAGTGTAGGAGTACACAGTGTTCCCGACCATCAAGGTCGACTTGCACAAGGTAGGCATGAGGTTTGTATGGTTAAGAGTGTCAGTGGGAAATTGCTACAGGGGTTGAAGGAGGAATGAAAGATTGTGTTGAGCCTTGGGTATCAGGACAAATTTAGACTTGATGCCATTATATAAGTCAGGAGGCTTTGAGGTCTAGAACAAAGCAAAGTGCTAACCTAAAGGAAGCTGCACGATCAGGCACCGTTCTCTTGTTATTAATGTAGGACGAATTTCACAAATATATCCGTGTTTCAAGACTTCTCCGGCTCCCTCCACACGGCAGCAATCCTGTCCATTTAAAATCCTCAAAAACCAAGTTCATTAGTTCTTTTAAAGACAAGGACAAACATCTCATCTAAAGTTCTACTACAACCAAGTAGTAATTCAACTGAAGTTTTTAAAGAAACAAGTAGATAGGTAGGTAAACTCAGACTGTATAACGTATTAAGAAATTAGCAGGAATCAGGTAAAAAAAACAGATGACATTGCAACTCTGGACAAATATATTCAAGTGTCAGAACGTCCAAAGCAGACATGAGACTAACTTTGAGTCTACTTTTGGAGAATCCATAATATGACAAAGGAGAAAAATAGGACCTTTTGGAATGGCATCTTCTTGAGGCTCTCTGGCTATAGGTTACTTCATGCCTTCCTGAACGCTTAGGAGAGCACAATCCCCCGCTGAGACATCCAGGTAGACGCCATTAAGGCATAGGTCACTTCACAAACAAAAGACATTTTCGAAGGCTCTACAATGCAGAGGCTACAGTGATCCCCTCTCCCCTGGGGGCAGCAACAAGTCTGAACAGGAATGAGACGCAACCACAAAGCACATGCCTCTCTGACATTAAACAAAGCAAGTTCATTCTAATGACTGGTGTTGCCACAGGGTTTAAAAATCTTCATGAAAATACACATCCGCCAACCATGGTTAAGTCATTTATTGGAAATCATATTTATTTTGTTATATCCCCATAATCCTTTTGCCATACTGCAGCAAAACTCCAAATATAAATATTTAACTTTTTTGTATATGTATAAAATTAGTAATGGGGAAAAGTTACAAACCAACCCAGAGGTAAAATGTTTTTAGCAATAACACCGTCTATCCAAGTGAACATCCAGGGTGGTCGTTTGATTCATTTATTTTTCTCCTCGTTGAAACATTTTAAGACAGGCCTTCATTGGAGCACCAAAGTGATTTTATTTTTCCTCTCCTTTTTAAAAGGTTAGAATCCTTTCATTGATAATACTCTTTTCAGTACTTTTAAGTCTAGTTAAGAAAGCATCCAGCATCTTCCTCTTAAAACAAAAGGAAGCGCCTTCATATTCCTTCACATTTAAACCTGTTACCTTCTAGTCTAAGCAAAAAATTAAAAGTGAGCACAGTTTAGGAGATTGCTTTCAGCAAATAAATAACTGTTTCATGAAAGCTCAGTTGTAAGCAGGATCATTTCCACAGCTACGCAAACACGGGATGTTCTCCACCATCGGCGATTTTAAAGAGCACAGACACACAGGGTAGCTATGGCAAGGAAAAGGGCTCCTTACGGATCAACTACATGTACGCCCAATGCCATTCAGTCCATGTGATTCACAGTGACCAGAGAAGACAGAGAAGAGCTGCCCCATAGGGTTCCAAGGCTTTAGATCTTCACAGGAGCACACAGCTATATGCTTCTCCCATGGAGTGGCTGGGAGGAGGCCCAAACAGCTGACCTTTGAGTTAAGCAGTTTAGCTATTAAGCCACTGTGCCACCAAGACTCCTGAGGATCGACCAGGAAAAATTGATTTAAGATGTGCCTTAGGATGTTCTTGGTTTCTCTACAGTTTTTAAGACGGGCCCCAACATTTTGAATGGTAATGCTCAAGACTTCCTGAACTCACTCTTGAAAGTGACCACCACGTGGCGTGTTTGCCACTGTCGCTCTGACACTGGTAAAGCCATACGAAAGGGCCTGAACAACGTCAACAAGCCTCATTTTCCAAAATCTAAATTAAATTAATAACAATTACCCCCCCCAAAAAAAAAAATCTGTAAACATGGAAAACCTGCCTGCCCGATTATAAATGTCATGTCCCAGCTGGTAAGACTGAGCGTTCCGCTGGGTTTTGCCTGCGTCGGACACCGTCTTAGGAAACAGGGGGCTTAGCTTTTCCAGCAGGCCGTTCTGCAGCTCAGCCCCCTTTCCCACGGCACCAGACGGCCTTTCTCCCGCCCTCCAAACAGCAATTCTTTCTGACAGGGAGGCAGGGTTCTTGGCACCCGGACCATGTTTTTATCTGGTACGACTTACTCATTAGACCCCAGCCCCCTCTCTTGGGAGTGTGTGGGTCTGTCGTTTGACAAACACCGAGGGTCTCACTCTGGGGACTCTGGTCTCCCCTAGCATTCTACTTCCTCCTCGAAAATATTTGAAAGTTGAAGGTCCCCTATTATGGTTACTTTGAGGAAAGGGTGGCTCTTAGAAAGACACTGTGGCTTTGAATTTGAACTTAATGCTCTCAGTGAAAAAAATCTGAACCTGGAGCAAAGTATTATAGTTTATGAGGCCATGCTGGGGATGGGTGAGCTACTGTTAGTAATCCTTACAATGATTTAGGCACAAAGAATTTTTTTCTCTTATGATGTAGAAAAAGCAGTTTTTAATGTGGTCTTTTCTTTCAAAGCCTTTTCCATGATCATATTCTAATATGCAAACTGAACTGAAAATGATTACCTGAAACGTGGACCAATTTTGGACATTTAAAAACCAGTTGAAAATGCACTAAGTTAAAATCAACTTATCTTAATTAACACTGATTTCTCCCAAGGGAAGAGTGTTATAGGTAACAAACATCAAATTCTATGTCATCTTCTAATATACAAAAAAAGCCATGCAGACACCCAATTAAGGCAGAGTTAATGACATTTGCCACTGAACTTTGAAAAAAGGATACACATACAAATGTCAACAACTCCAACACTATCTCGGTACAAGAGCTACATGGATGTGACAATATAAGTGACTTGGCTGTTGGTAATAAAATGCATACACGTTTCTGAATCTCCTCTTAATAATAAGAGTGTTTCTTTGAGCAGATTCATGTACTTTCTCCCATGCTAACACTCCTATGCCCAGCGCCCTGTAATAGAAGTTAGCTTGCATACCTGGACCAACAATACATCGTATCTCCGAAATGTACTACACTATCATTCCACCTGGTATTTCCCCAACGCAGCTGTCTAACACTACAAATGCTCATTGGCATTAAGTGAGGACCGGAACGTCACTTTATTGTTGCTTTTCATGAAAAATATAAACCTTTTCAAAATACAACCTCCTTGGAATGAATCTAGGCCACAAAGTAAGAAAGTTACATGGACTGGCTTCTCGAATCAAAGAAACATTCTGAGCGACAAGGCTTTCAAAATATTTCGTTGTCTTCCATAGGCATCTTACTTCAGGCACAGACACACATTTCCAAGTGTTCCCAGCGGGTTTGGCTCAGTGACAGTGAAAACAGACCACGTTCAAGTACCGTTAGACGAATGCAGCACTGCAAGGGTAAGTGTTTGTATATCGCAGTTTGCAAAGGAGAGCGATCTTAATGACTCGACAGTATAGTTCACCAAAGAAACCCTTTGAAATCGTCTTGACTTTAGGATCTGTAGCGTCCTTCCAAAGGGTCTGGAGGTCTTGTACGTGTCCGTGAGACGTCATCATTTTATCATATATGCACGGGTGATAGGGAGTTTTCCCTTCCCCAGAAAAGAACACATGGTATTGGGGTGCGATCCCCACTTTATTGGCACAGAGGCCCATGAACACGTCATCTATATACAGACTCGAGTTGAGGGTCAGCGAAGCCTCATAGACTCTGGCGGCCACGTCCCTGGAGATCACATAGGCCGCACCAGCCGTGTAGTCAGGGTAGGCCGGCCACTGGTACATTTCATAGGAGACATAGTATTTGCTCCTTTTGTCTCGGATGGGAGGGGCACCTCGATGGACACGACCAATCCAAAAGTCTTGGACGCCAATTTGGGCTAACCCTTGAAGGTACTCAACCAGATTTGGCATGTGGATAAATATGTCATCATCAGCAGTCATAAAGAATCTGGCCTGCGGACAGAATGTGTTTGCCCAGCTGAACTGCAGAAGTAACTTCACAGTCAGGTTGTAGAAGGAATCGGCAAAGTCTTGCTGGATGAGATCATTGTATAGTTTATCTTCCCAAATCAGTTTTCTTTGCAGTTCGTCTCTCTCCAGCGGATTAGGGGGCGTCCCCAGGGCAAACAGAGTTTTGATGTTGGCATTCAACTGAGACCGAGCATACGCCTCACTGCCCCACGTTTTCCTGATCGCAGAGCGGCGTTTATAGTTCTCGGGCGCTGTCTTAACAAACAGCAAGAGGAGGACGTCCTGGCCCTGACACTTGTCCTCGTGGTTAATCAAGTACTGGAAGCCCCGGGCGTCCTCCGAGCTGCGGTTCACAGACAGGGAGTTGGTGACAAAGTCGTAACTATTGATGAGGTATCTGTATGAGTAGGACTTCATGTGGCTCACGACGGGATTAGCATATGGGCTCCAATAAACCATGAGGCTTAGTATAAAACAAGTGGCAAATATCTGAACAAACTGCCATTTTTTGACTCTCCGGTTACTAGCAAACATCCTGGAGTCCGTTCGGGTCTCCTCTTACTCAGGACCAGTTTTACAGGGGCACCTGCCTCTCTGAGACCACAGAGCTGGGTGTTCTTTTGAACAGATGTCCATGGTAATACAGACTGATCATTAACACGGGAAAAGGAGTGTCTTAATTCACACGTTGGGGAACACGGCGTGGAGCGTAGCCACGGGCTCATCCAGGTTCCTCCACACCGGCGTCCTTCCTTGAGTTCGGCAATCAGCCTCATGCAGTCCTGCCTGCCTCCGTCAGAAACGCCAGCGGAGACCTACTGACGTCATAAAGAGAAAAAGTGAAAGCCATGGGTTAGTTTCCCCCAAAGAAACAAACTGCTTTGAAATCCTTGAAAAGTCAGACGTACCCTGAGTGACCTGGACAAACGAGGCGATTGGTATTTATCAGACTCAGACTGTTGCCTACATTTTTAAGGAAACATACTATTGTTTGGGGGTCAATGCTGACCCATAGCGACCCTACAGAGCAGGGTAGAATTGCCCCTGTGCGGTTAAGACTGTAACTCTTTACGGGAGTAGAAAGCCTAGTCTTTCTCCCTCAGAGAGTCTGGTGGTTCTGAACTGCTGGCCTTGCAGTTAGCAGCCCATTGCTTAACCACTACGCCAAAGGGAATGTGACAGAACTACTCTATCCTGTCTATGCTATCATGCCATTAAGAATACAGAGTTTCTTTTCCCCTCTCAGCCTAATTCTAAAACAGTAAAATCATAGGGCAGGTGCTCCATAGAAGCGATCCTCGTATACGCCCATGGATCATCTTTTTCAATTGGACCTACCCATGGATATCTTTGGCTTGGACATAGTCAATATGAAAGTGGCTATGCAGGAGGACTTCGAAAAGTTTGTCAGAAGACGGAAGTAAGGGACAACAGAATCTTCCCATGACCTTTCTGAAGCCCTCTTCATATAGTTCAAGGAGCCCTGGTGGTACCGTGGGCTAAGGATCCGGCAGTGAAGAGGGGTTGATGGTTCAAACCCACCAGTCACTGCACGGGAGACAGCTGAGGCTACCTACTCCCATAACGATAACGTCTCGGAAACCCACAGGAAACTGCCCCTTAGGGTTGGGTTTGGTGTACAGTTCAAGATGAAAGAAAGCTCGTGGCAATAAAAAAAAAAATGAAGTATTAAAATCTGCCTCTGGCATAAGATTTTTTTAAGTCAAAGTTCAAAACCAAGGCGTTGAGATATGCTTCCATGCTTCCAAAGACATAATGCAAAAGAGATAGAAAGGTCCCAGATGGAACTTTGAACACATCAAGCTCAGTGAACTCAGCCAGGCACAGCAAGCCCAATGTGAGATCGCCCCACTTACGTGGAGTGTGCAGAGCACTCCCCCACGTGCTTGGGGGAGGCCATCGTGGAGGGGAGCCCACAGGGCGTGGGAGAGGAAGAGGTGGAGAGCTCAGGACTAATGCAGAAGAGTTTGTTCGGGCTGTACAGTAAGAGTAGTCTGGAGTGAAAAATGAACTCTCTGGCTAAAACTATTGTCATAAGCCTCTGATCTATCTCTGTGACGTTTCATTTGGAAACTCCACAAGTGTCTCAGATGTCACATATGCAGAGCCGGGACGCCGCAGCCAGCAAAGACTCTATTTGTGGTCGGGCCATTTGGACAGCAGTCATGCCTCAGTCACGTACGACTCCACTCCTTGCTGTGCTGAATCGTGCAGGCTTCTAAGCCAGACACCTGAAGACCTGAGATGGTGCCTTGGAAAGTCCTCGTGCACATTAAGTGGAAACGTACATAGATGTGTACTCCCAGGTAGACAGCTGATTACCTAGCACACAGGGATGACTGAAATCTCCATTCGAACCTACTCTACGACTTTGTCCCCCAATCTGCTATTTCCCTGTTGACGGTAGCCGTGCCTGATGGCACTTTGTGCCTCTCAACTATAAATCTCAAACACTGCCTCGCCATGAGTCCCCAACCCAGCTATGGATCGCTTCTTGTTTCCTATCGGTCTCTCTTCACCCCTGGCACCAACCCGTCTCCCAGGAACTAGCATAGCCAACCAATCGGCCAGCCCTCCCCCCACCCACCCACCTACCTCCAAGATTAAAGCTCCGATCTGAATGCAGTGCTACCTGAGCTTTTTCCTCACTGGTTAGCGGCAAGTGAGGCCTGTGTCACGATTGAGAGAGGTAGACAGGACCCTGTGGGATCTGCTTTCTTAGGGGCTCCATTACATCATTCGATAAAACCAATTTTTTTTTTTTTTGGTGGAAAGCACAGCCCTGTGTCTACTGCAGCCTCCCCTGTCTCCCAAGTTCTCATCCTAAGTTCTCCAGGCACCCTCCCCTAAGAAGTCAGTGTTGGGTCACTCCAGCCCCACCCCAAGCCATGTTTCTCATTGGTACTGCCAAAGCACCTTCCATGCCCGTCTCTCCGTACTGAGCCTTTATTTAACTGCCTCCCTCAACTGAAATGTGAGCTTGCATGGGGGGCAAGACGCTATAGGTAAACTCTCAGCACCTCGGTCAGCACAGTACGTGTTTGCCCACTGTTGGGGTAAAAGATCATTCTGGGGCTAGTCACTCAAGGAGAACTAGGGAGAGAGCAGATGCCCAGCCAGATGCCACCTCAAGACGAGGCTTCCATTTCTTCCCCCAGAGGAGATAGGAGCGGCCACCTTTCCCAGACTGCACCCCAGTGTGCACACGGAAAACACCAGGGACCACCAACACAGCCATCTCCAGAGCTATCTAGACACCTGAAAGGGGCAACACCATCCTCAGTCAGCAAGGTGCACACAGTCCAGATGGGCGTGATAGCCGAGCCCACATCACAAGTCCCAGGGCAAGCACAGGTCTTGGTTTTATGTCCAGAGTTCCTGTCTTCAAATCTCACCAAGACACACACACAAACACGCTGGCCGAGACGTAAAGCCAGGTAGACACAGACAGTGTGCCCAAGTGGCTGTGAAACCTCCTTCCCACCTCAGGGCTCAGGACCCCCTGTATTTCTCCCTCGCTGGGGTCACACCAAGGCCAGACATGCAAAAGCATCAAGAAGGCCAGCGATTAGAGCCAGGCTCCACCAAGACATTGTCTACAGTTAATCACGTCAGGTAGTGCTTTACCATCTAGGGCAGGGTTCTCAGCCTTCCTCATGCAGCGACCCTTTTGTACAGCTCCTCTTGTGGTGGTGACCCCCAACCACAAAATTATTTCCTTTAGGAACTGGGCGACCCCTGTGGAAGGGTCATTTGACCCCCAAAGGGGTCACGACCCACAAGTTGAGAACCGCTGTTCTAGGGTAAGATTTTTTAAAACTGCACGCTCCAGGCCGGAAGTCACCACCAGCATTTTTAAGAAAGGACAGACAGACTAGAGAAGAGCAGACTGCACTGAGAGCACCGCGTGTGTGGACTGTAATGTTGTTTTGCTTTTTAATGGTCTTCACTGTTCAAAAGGCAAGAAATGCTGTTGTCGGAAGGAGGTGGGGAAGCATCCGTCCTTCCCTCTTGAGTCGGCCATTGTTTCTGGCCCCGACAGGCTAGGTAGGACGAGGAAGGCAGCAGGAGGCCCCCGCTTCTGCGGGTGGTATCTGCCTCCCCTCCACTGTGCTTTCATTCAGGAAGACCACGTCCTCTCCGCCTTGCAACACTGCTCAGCAAGGCATCGAGACGGAAATCCCACTCTGCCTGCACCAGGGAGCCGCTGAGGCTTCAACGGAGGGAGCAGAAGGCTGAGGTGGAAGATCTTTAAGACCGCAGGCGTGTTTAAGAGCTAAAAGAAGGCTCTTGAAACGATTCTGCCCTTTCCACTCCAACAGACCTCGAGAAGGAAACAGAGGAGAGTAACCTTTGAAGCCTGATGGCTCCCAGGAAAGACCAGCTTCCCGTTTTCTGGGCACTGTGCCACACTGCCAGTTCAACTCACACCTCCACACCCGATCGGTGGGCACGTCCTGACTCTGTCATCTCCTTCAGCATCCAAGTGTGGGCTCGCCTAACCGACCGCACGAGTTATCTCCAAGAAGAATCAGGGCCTAGGACTCCTTAGGCCGGGGTGCTGTGGCTGCCAGCGCCGTAGCATTAATTTTACCTACTTCTCCTCGACACATCACCGGTTTAGTTTAGTTTCCTGTATTATTATTTTTTAAATTGTCCTCGAGAGTCAAAACATTTTTCCGGAACCGGGACAACCCATTTCACATGAAGCCAACGATCCCAATGACGTATTTGGGTTCTGTAGAGCACATGGGTGGCGCTGTGCGTTAGATGTTGGGCTGCTAACCTCAGCATCGGCGGTTCAAACCCACTGTCTGCTGCCCAGGAGAAAGATGAGGCTGTCTGCTCGGAGAAGATGGACAGTCTTGGAACCCCTACTTAAGGTGGATCTGAGTCAGAATCCACTCGGGGGCAGTGGGTGATGGCACAAGAAGTTCCGAGGCTGAAGTTTCTCTGCCCTCGGCGGCTTGAACTGTTCAGGCAGTGTTTCCATCAGCTATAACCAACCCTCACTGGTGGTGCTGCCTGATGAGAGGAACAGCTTCTCTCTTACAGCAATAGTCACATTATGCCCCCCACCCCCATTCAACAGCACTCACCAGAGGGTCTCAGACAAAAGCAGAAGTGCCCACCCTCCTGCCACATGCATCAACTACAAGGAAACAATGCTGCGCCTGCGCTGGCTTTCCTGCTGGAGACACCAACCAATGGCCGGGCGCTCTCTCCTGTGGTTCTGCACAATGTCTGTGAGCTTCCACATTCAAAGGCAGGAGAGGGATTGGCCAGCAGCCCACAGGCTGCCTGATCTACTGAAAGAGGAGGTTAGGCCTTCCAGGAAACACAACCATCCCGGAACGAAGGTCGAGCTCAGCAGACCCTCCACCCAGCCGCGGTGGGTACGGGCTCTTTGTGTGCCTGTCACTCACTCAGCCACTGGCCAGCAGACTGGAAACTCCAGGGCTGTCCCCGAGTGGGGCCAGCGGCATTGTGTGACCGCAGGCAACCTTCCCCTCAGTCGGGTCTAGCGGTTTAATCTGCAGATTGTGGCTAAGCCCAATGCCATGCAGCTGAGGGGAAATGAAAAATGATAGATGACTCCCGGCCTGCTGAAAATGCAAAGCAGGAAAGCGCATAGGAGAGAACAGTGCAAAGAACTGCTGGCTGGAAAATCAGCAACGAGTTGGAGCCCAGCTTGGGCTTGCTTTCATCTGGTCTGGGGAAGGGGACTCGGCGTCAGTGTTCCTTGTTCCTACTGGGTAGAAGTGGGCCGAAGAATGGAGGGGTGGAAACGTCAGGG